CTTTATCTATTTAGATAGATTAGATAGATTAGATAGCTGTTCTTTCCTTAGGATTTGTAGTTGCTTAATAACAAATTATTAAGGTCATGATGAAGAGCGTATGTGAAATGGCTGACCGTGCAACAAAGGAACTGGAAAATTGCATAGGTAGGATTTTGAACTGTTCTTCTTTGGTTGTAAACTTGACGCAATTTGAAAACGATCAAAATGACAGTCCGACCTCCCGCATTGCGATTTGATCTTGTTATCGTTATTGGACTGTATAGTTAGTAATCCAAGCGATCGCAATGCATTACAGCTTTCTTGAACCAGTCCTTGAACTCTGCATCAGTATGCTTGTCTGAGCTGGAAGCAATTTCTTTGGAAGCCATCGAGATTCCGGGAGTAGAAGGTCAGCCCATTTTCTTTTCGAAAGTCACTTATTTTGGTTTACTTCAGAGGAGCTGAATGATATTTTGAACGAAGATCCATCCTCCGAAGTCTTCTCGTACGAAAAAAGTTTGGCCAGTCAGTGCATTGCGCGGAGAGCCGACTTAGCAGCTCAGCTTTGTAATAACACCAAAAGTTCGGTAGTGCGTGTGCTACTGAGAACAGCACGGTAACATTTTGTACGCTTTCTTGGAGCAGAACTGATTGTTTCCATTTCAGGTTTGTGGTGGACATCTCTGTAGAAATGGCAAAATATCGCAATTATATCGATGATTACATTGCACTGATAGAAAGGCCATTTCAGGAAATGAAGGTGAGTTGAGTTTCAGTATCGGTTTTTTACATTTCAAAGTGAAAAGCCCACACAAATAACTGTTTTTTGGGTCTATCCATTGTTTTCCTTGATCTGGATGTTTTCAGCGCTGTGTAGAGAGAATGCAGGCTGAACACAATTTAGATGACCGTAGTTTCCAGAAGGCTCTACGATATTATGAGCGACCAGCTAAGTAAGTTACGCCTTCATGCAACTGGATTGTCATTTTTTGTTTCTCTCTGTTCTAGCATTGTTGCTCAAGCACGCTTGATTCGAGAGAAAGTTTCGCAAGTTTTCGATATGCTACAACAAGTGGATGGATCCAAGTAAGTTGGGTTCTGATGACAACCTTTGA